GAACACATTTTTTAAGCACTGGGAGATCAGGGTGCAGCACGCGAAATCTCTAACACTTAATTTGGTCCAATAAAATAAACTGAAGGATTTCTTCTTTAAAAAAAGGAGGTTGGGTTATGTGTGGGTGTGTTACCTTGTTTCAGAACTTAGTGAAGAAATGTTCTGAATCATGAGCATTAATACACTTTCTCTCTCTGAATGTACAAAGTTACATCAGCTTCACTTGAAGACGAAGAAAAAAGTAGGAGAAAGAAAAACATCCTGTGTTCAAAACAAACCCAACATTTCTAAGCTTTACTGATGTCAGCTACAGCTACAAAGTCAAACGATGCCTATCTGAACAGTCACAACGTTCAGCTCGTTAGTGAAGTCTGAGCAGGACTTCCTGTTTATCTAAGCCCCGCCCCCTTAGCCCACAAGATTGAGCCAAGTTCTGTCTTTCTGACTGCAGAGGTACTGAGGCAACACAGAGGAGCGGGTCAGAGTCACAGCTCCAAACTCTGAGCAGTGTGGTTCGTTCAGGCCTGACCTCAGATCAGCTGCAGACAGGAAGTTTCACCACGTCTGCATCAGGTGATTCACAGTAATACCTCATCTGATTTTATAAACTGCTCTAATCACTTCCTCCATGCTCCGCTCATCAGACAACCAGAGGAACAGTGTGTGTGTGTGTGTGTGTGTGTGTGTGTGTGTGTGTGTGTGTGTGTGTGTGTGTGTGTGTGTGTGTGCCCATGAAGTGGTCAGCTTTCTGTCCTTTTATGGACACAAAGGACTTGGGCCCTGCTTGTTAGTCTTCATCAACATTTTTTGAGGTATTTATTTTTAAAAGCTTCTAAATGATGCACTAAATATTTCCATCTCCTGCCCTCTGCAGGGCGAGAGGTGGGCCATGATGTCACTGTGTATGACATCCTGTTAGCAAAATATGCCATGAACCACTGGAGTGATTTAAATCACTGACTGTAYGTCTACCACTGATTATATTTAGGAGGCAACCTATTTCAAAATGGCCACTGCAGGACACTGAAATTAGAAAACACCAAATCTATGGAGGACCTAATTTACAAACTTAGAAATAGAAGCAGAAATATATAAATGGACCAATAAATAAATACACTTAAAGTTCACCAAGTACATTTAAAAAAGGAGAACTTTACCC